TTTAAAATATTAAAATTTAATTTATAATTAATTATAACTATAATAAATATAAACTGAATTAAATATAAATAAAAAAATTTAAAAATTATAAAGGTTCTCTCATTAATAAAAAATTGTTAAAAAAGATATTTATAAATGATAAAAATTCGCGTTTAATATATATAAAGAGATATATAAAATTCTTGTTAACCAAACAATCTTTGGTAAACTCCATGCATACACACTACATGTGTGTGTTAACAACAAAAGTTAAAAAATGACCGAACATGATAACACAAAATATAGTAAGCTTAATAAATTCCACGAAGAAGAAGAAGAAGATGGTGTATATATACCAATTGTTTGGCACGTTTGACCCGTCGGCGTATGGAGCGAAAGAGGAAGAGAGCAATGGCTCCTGAGAGAAGGAGGGTGGAAGCAAGCTGAAGGGTAGAAGATGAAGGCTCATCTGTGAAAACTGAAGGAGTGGAAAAAGGGAGTTCAATGGGTCCTCCTCCCAGTAATTCTTGTGTTGTTGTGAGTTGTGCAAGCCATGCATCATAAGGAATGGCTGAAACTGTTGTTGTTGTTGTTGTGATGGGTCTATGGAGAAAAATAAGAGATGGTGAAGGGTGGTGGTGGTGATGATGGGTGAGTGAGAGAGGAACAGGGAGGGTTGAGAAGAGAAGGTGCTGATGAGAGTGCAACATAGTAGAAGAGAAGAAGAAATAGAGAGAGAGAGAGAATGAAGGAAATTTGGTAATGAATGGATATTCCAAACATGGATTTGGTTCTTATGTTAGTCAAGTTTTATGCTGCACCGACACCACATCTACAAAATTATGGTAATTCTATCGGGAATACTTACAAATGAATATGTTTTTATAATATATAGATTTAAGATTTTTTTAAATTTTTTTTTTATAAAAATAGAAATGAAAAAGGGAAAATTTAAAACTTTTTATAAAAAAAATATCAATAAAAAAAAAAAAGACAATTCGAGGATTTTTTTTTAAAATAGAAAAATTACTATAAACTTAGAAATAAAGAAGGAAGAATTTGAGTTTTTTTTTTAAAGAAAAAAATATCCGTGTTCTTGTCGTATTTAAATACATGTTTCAAGTTTGTATGAAAATATCTTCTAAGACTTTGGAATTAGGATTTTGGTGGAGGAATTAATGGAAAGGCACATCACATCAAAATGAGCATAATATCTCCGATATTTAGGGAACAAGGTTTTATTTCCTCCTAAAAGATCGTAGTCCATCAATACATTATAAAACCTTTTTTTGTGTTTTCTACAAAAAAAAAAAAATTAAACATGTCAAACTTTCAATTAGAAAAGCTAAAGTACGTGTATAATAATATAATCCTATATTATTGCAACCCCTTGAAATTGAATGCAAGAAGCAAGAAACAAGTGAAGCCTCCCAAAATGGCCACAACCACAACTACAAACACCTCTAACCTTGTTCACATAGCCATGTTCCCATGGTTTGCCACAGGTCACATGACCCCATTCCTCCACCTTTCTAATGAATTAGCCAAAAGGGGTCACAAAATCACCTTCTTACTACCCCAAAAAGCCCTACTCCATCTCCAACACCTCAACCAGTACCCTCACCTCATCACATTCCACACTCTCACCATTCCTCACGTTCAAGGTCTCCCTTATGGCTCCGAAACTGCCTCGGAGATACCAATTTCTTTAAACCATTTACTAATCATAGCCATGGACAAAACCCGTGACCAAGTGGACCAAACACTTAGTGCAATGAAACCTGATTTTGTGTTGTATGATAGTGCTTATTGGATACCCCAAATAGCAAAAAGAATTGGCATCAAAGCGATTTGTTACAATGTTGTATGTGCAGCTAGCATAGCTATTGTGATTGTGCCTGCAAGGAATGTTCCCAAGGATAGGTCAATTACTGAGGAAGAGCTAAGTCATCCACCACAAGGGTACCCTTCGTCCAAAGTAATGCTTAAAGGATCCGAAGCAAGGTCATTGTTATTTACTTCACTACCCTTTGGTGAAGGCATGACATTTTATGATCGCATTACAAGTGCCTTGAGAGAAAGTGATGCTATAGCAATCAGAACTACTAGTGAAATTGAGGGTAACTTTTGTGACTACATTGGAGCACAATATGGGAAAAAAGTGTTTTTGACTGGGCCAGTGTTGCCAACTGAAGCTGAGGGGAAGTTGGAAGAAAATTGGGCTAATTGGCTTGATGGGTTTCCACATGGGTCTGTTATGTTTTGTGCATTTGGGTCTCAAATCAATTTAGAAAAGGAGCAATTTCAAGAGATTTTGCTAGGGTTTGAGCTTTCAGGGTACCCCTTTTTGATTGCTCTCAAGGCTCCTAAAGGGTGTGAGAGTGTGGAAGAGGCGATACCTGAGGGGTTTGAAGAGAGAGTGAAGGGTAGAGGAGTAATTTCAAGGGGTTGGGTTCAGCAATTGTTGATCTTGAAGCACTCTTCTGTGGGGTGCTTTGTGAACCATTGTGGGTTTGGGTCTATGTGGGAGTCTGTGATGAGTGACAAACAAATTGTGCTAGTTCCACACCTTGGGGACCAAATCTTGAACACCAAGTTGTTGGTTGAGGAACTTGAAATGGCAATTGAGGTGCAAAGAGGGGAAAATGGGTGGGTTTCCAAAGAGGAATTGAGCAAAGTCATCAAGTTGGTGATGGATGAAGATAGTGAGGTTGGTGCTAAGGTGAAGAGGAATCACATCAAGTGGAAGGAAAGTAGGGGTAGTCCAAAGCTAATGAATAGTTACATTGATAGGTTTGTCCAAAATCTTCAAGATTTTTGTGTGTCCAAGTGATGGAGTTGACCCTACGTCCAGCTAATGAAAATGAAAATGTTTTGAAAATAGCTAGAGAAAATATCTAAAGTGTGATGTGCCTTATGACTTGTGTGTGTGTGTTTTCTTTTTGTCTGTAAAGATGTTATTTTGTAATTCATTTGGTACTTTTTAGAAAGAAAAAAAAGTATTGTAGGATTGAATAAATTTGTAACTATATTCAGAAGTATGTTCTTTTATTTACTTTATTATTTTTAATCATAATATATGTTGGCGTGAAATTTCAACCGATTTTGTTGATTATCAATAAAAAAATTTTATGGAAACAATTTTACTAATTTTATGAGAAGATTAAAAAAGAATAGCTACTTTTCAAAAAATAATATTTCTTCCATTTCGTTTTTTGATGTTTTAATAATTCTTATTTATTTTAATTTGATTATTATTTTAGAAATATTTATTGTTCCTGCGTAAGAACACTCTTCTCCTTGATCCTTCCTAGTTGCCTTCAAGTCCTTCTGAATCTTCCGTGCTGACCGAACACTAGCTCCGCGTGGTGGGGGAGGGTACCTGCACAGGCACTCCGACGATCAAGTCAGTGTTCGGTTCAGAGCAATAAATGCATTAGCGAGAATAGTAACGTACCTCATTTATGTCACATCACCTGTGTATTTATAGTGATATGTGTGGGCCTGGTGGGCCTTCCTTCTTGGGAGATGAGTAATACGTGATTATCCTTAATCGTTGCTGATTAAGGACGGTAATTATTGTGTAACAAGTAATTATTGTCGAAACCCCATTCTGTCAGTTCTTCAGCCAGGCGCGCGGCCGAAGGGGTGTTCGGCCTATCCCAGGGCCGAAGGGGGTGTTCGAAGGGGTGTCCGGCATATGCCAATGCCGAGGAGGGGTTCGGCATATGCCAATGCCGAAGGGGTGTTCGGCATATGCCAATGCCGAGGAGGGTGTGTTTTGATACCAAAGGGATACTTGTTCTGTCCTTGGTGGTGGTGGAGGTATTGGGCCTATCCCAAGGTCGAGGGGGTGTTCGGCATATGCCAACGCCGAGGAGGTGTTCGGCCCAACCTCTAGCCGAAGGCGTGATGTGTTTTTTATCGGCTCGGGCACCTCTTTCGACCCATTGTCTGAACGGAGTGCCAATTGGCGTCCTATCGGATCGGGTACCCCTATCGGCCTATTGCCTGACCGAAGGGGTGTCAGCTAGTACATTTATTATTAATGTATTATTTAATTATTGATAAGAATTTAAAAGGTTATATTAAAAAGTTACATGGTTTATTTTATAAAATTAGACGTATTATATTTTTTAAGCTTCATTCCAAAATCTTAAATATTAAAAAAAATAGAACGGAGAAAATATTAAATATAAATGTGCGTTATTATTTTTATAACTTTTGGATCTATAACTTTTTTCATAAATATAATGCTTTCTTGATTAATAAACTTGTGTTTATAATGTTATTTATGTTAATAATTTTTTAATTTTGTATCAAGTTATGATTTCTTCTATGTGAGATTATAAAATTTTATATTTAAACCAGATGATTAATGAACATTTATAATTATTATTTATAATTATTTTTTATCATGATATTAACAGAAATATCTATTAATTTCGTCGAAAACTAATCTCCCTTAAGATCTTGACTACATTTTCAATAATATTTTTTTTATTAAATTATTCAAATTTGAGACCTTAAGATTTAGAAACCAACCATAATAAAACTTACAAATTTAATATATATATATATATATATATATATATATA